TGGGCAAGAAACTAGTACCACTTTTGCTGTATCATCAATTTATGTTTGATAAAAACACTTTTACTAGCCTATAAATATTCACTTAAATACTAGTTAAAATGTAATTATTTGTAAAAAAAAATGTAATTATTAGTAAACATGTTGCCATAGATTAGATAAACTTGAAAATGCTGGAAATAGAATAATCAAAGTTGATATCAAAAAGTTAAAATTATTAATGGTATTTGTGGGAATTATTTTGAGAAGCAGAATGGAACCAGAGTGAAACTTAGAAGGGCTGGGTTTGAATTCATTCTTTGGCACCAGATTTTCTCTCTCTCTCTCTTTTTTTTTTTTGGTACTGGGGATCGAACAAGACCTTGTGCTTGTAAGGCAGCGGAACCACTGAGCTAAATCCCTGGCCTTAGAGCCGGGTTCTCTTGAGCTATGTAGTTAGTCCCATGGGGGCTAAGTTTTGTCATTTGTGTAATGGCAGTAGCCTCTATTTACAGAGTTGTTGCAAAGATGAAATATGGTCATGTATGTGACGGTGTCCAGTAGCTCAATGTCCAGTAAAGATGAACAGAATCTAAACCAGGAACCTGTAGGTTATTTTTCATAGTGTGTGTGTAGAGAGAGAGAGGGAAATAGAATTTTGTATTTTCTCAGAATGGTGGTAGGGAAAGTATGGAGTGTAAATGTGCATGTGTATGCTTGTGGGTATAAATTTCTAGACATCATTTCAGTATTTTGTAGATTTTCTCAAACTTTATAAATGCTTCCAAAGGTGCAGAGTTAATTTTACAGTGCTCTGTAGTTATTGTAGAATTCTTCTCACTTTCTTGCTCTTATTTTCCTTGTGCCAGACATGTTCTAGAGCTTACTTATTTCTCATCAAGGGTAATGACCTAACAGTCATAAATACTGTCATACATATTCTTCTTCCAAATGAGAACTAAATATTTGCATTGTACTCCTGTTTTGTTTCTGTATTTTAAAAAGTATTGAGTTTAGTGCCCTACTGTCAATTGTAAAATTTGTGAAAGGCAAATCATTTTCTTAATATATAAATCAAGTGTGTACTGTATGTTAGGTGCTTTATAAGTATTATTAACATTACAGTAAGCCATAAAATAGGTGATACACAGTTTTACAAATAAAGAAACTGAAGCTCAGAATAATAAGTATATTTTCCAGGGTCAGAGAACTATTAAGAGAGAGAAAATGTGAAAGCAGGTGCAGGTTGATCTGACTAAAGCATGGTATAAGGCTGCTGCTCAGTCACTAGTATAAATCAAAGGAATATGTTTTAAGGTAAAATAAAGGTAGTAGAGACACTTTGAGCCTTGGAGGCTAGTAGAGGCATTTTAAAGCTTAATTTTACTTTTTTTTTTTTTTCAAACTTTTCCACCTAATTCTTTACTTGGGCAGGATAATCAGACAATGGATCTGTCTTCAGGAGGTTATCACTGATCTAGGTTAGGGATGTCTGCAAGGCCCTGGCAGCCTCTGGCTTTTTTTTCCTTTTCCCTAATCCTGGTTTTCTACGGAACTGTGATTTCAGATGTTTCTTGAGGCTTTGCTTATCACTTAGAGCTATGCACTCAGCTCTTTTTCTTAACTCCAACACTACCTCCCACCCCAACACAGCATGGTATTGTGAGGATAAAGTGAGTTAATATATATAAAGAGTTCAATACAGCATCTGGTAAACAGTAAATACTCAATGTTGATTAACATTCTTATGAGTATTGTTAATAGCATTGTTATTAATGCTGGTGTTAGTGACAGTGATAGTTGATTTAAAGCTTTATAACATTCTCCGGAAGGATCTCAGTGTTCCCCGTCCATGATATGGTTTTGTGCCATTTGTTATGCAGGGTCCCAAGTGTGGACATGCACAATCAGTTGTGCAGGATAGGTGGAGATGGAAATTGTAAGGGAGGGGTTGTGGGGAGAAAGGAACCCTTCTCCATTGTTGGTGGGAGTGCTGAGTGGTGTGGTGCAACCACTATGGAAATCAATATGGAGATACCTCAAAGAGCTGGGACTAGAGGTTCTGTTTGACCCAGCCATCCCTCTGCTGGGGATCTTTCCAAAAGAATTAAAAGAATCATATCACAGAGATATATGCGCACCTATGTTTATAGTGGCAAGTTTGTAATAGCTAAAACTTGGAAACAACCCATTTGCCCATCAGTTGGAAACTGGATAAAGAAAATATGGTTTTTCTATAAAATGGAATGTTACTCAGCCATAAAGAATGAGAAATTAGATTCATTCATAGGAAAATGGTTACATATTGAGATATACTCCTAAGTGAAATAAATAAGTCACACATGTAAATACCGAATAGTTTCTCTGGTGTGAATTAACTATAGTAGTACATAAGATCCTAATGAGATAATTGACAATGTGAAATAGGAAGAAAAGGGCTTAAAGGTGTAGGGAAAGTGGGAAGGGTAGGGGAAAGGGAATAAGGGAATAAGGGAAAAGAAAAAAATATGAGAAAATGAAAAAATGGAAATGAAGTGTTTGTAAATGGGGAGGGGAGGAGGGGGTGAAGGGAGGGCAGGGACAAGGGGAAAAAATGAGAATCAAGACCTGTCCTGTAAAGATACAAGATCCCAACAATGAATGTAACTATACTGTATACCTAAAATGTACCGATAAACTCAATGAGGTGGGGGTAAGAAGCTGTACGTGAATGCTACCCAAAGATTGCTAGAAATAATATTATGCTTTAATTGCCTCCTTGTCAGCCGCCAAGGCAGCTGTCCACAAATCCTACTTCCAGCCCACATTTTTTTTTTCTTGGCTTCTTTGCATTTCCTTTATCTGTATAGAACATTAATGGTTTTGGAGTCACTAATAGGGTGACAAATGTATATGCATTTGTTTGGTAGTTTATCTGTAGTTTGTAACTACCCTTCCTGCTGGCTTCCTGGCCCCCTCACTTCCCTGAATAGTGTACAGTGTCATTCTGTCTGTAAAGGTCTTCTTAGTACCTGTGTTGATTACTTTTTCATTTGTTTGTTTGTTTTGTTTGTTTTTTTGGTTTTTTGTGTTTTTTTTGGTACCCAGGATTGAACTCGGGTCCTTGAGTTTGCAAGGCAGGCCACTGAACCGCTGAGCTAAATCCCCGGCCCTTGTTTGATTACTTTTGCTGAGACAAAATACCTGACACAAAGTTAAAGGGTGAAAGGTTTATTTGGCTTACAGTTCGTAGAGATTTCAGTCCATAAGTGGCTGATTCTAAGGCACAGTGGTAGAAGGGCAACAGTTCATGGCAGAGGAAGCAGCAAAAAGCAACAAGAAACCCTAACAGTCTTTCTGCTCCTTTTATCTTACTCAGACTGCTAAGATTAGGGCAGTGCTGAACCAGTCACTCACATGTCGTGGTTTGGTAATCACATGGCCTTGATCCTAACACCACACACTCTAGACTCACACACCTATGACGGGTTGAGACTTTGTGGGGAGCCATCTAGACTCAAACCATAGCAGTAACCTTCCCAACCTTAATTTTCTCTACTTAATTTTTTTCCTGTTACCCTTCAATAAATAGTCTGTACTCTAGCACATGTATTGATTTTACTTTTTATTCCCCCAAAGTTTTTTTTTCTCTAATTCTTCACTTGATCATAGCCAGTGTAGTGAGAAGTGATTCCTAATTTTTACTTTTAGTTATATTTCCTGTTGCACATTTGAGTTGTGTTGTAGAAAGAGCTGATGACAAATAATATGATTTTATAAAACTTTCCATAGACTCCATAGAACTGAACCCATGGCTGGAGATTCTTAACTCTTATTTGTGTAAAAGCATCCTTCTTAAAATCCCCCTCTGATCTGGAATAATACACTTTTCTTTTACCAGGTGAGAGTATTTGGGCCTCACTTTTTCTTCTGGCAAATGATAACATCTGCAATCTTGGTCATCTCTTCTACTTTATTGTATTAAAAGTATCTGTTGTACTGTGATTTCTCAATAATCTTCCATTTTAAAATTAGTAATGTATAAGATACAAGGAGGTAATTTAGAACGTGGAGATTATTTTATCTATCTATAATGGACATTTTATTTTTATTTTTATTTTTATAGGTACCAGTGATCGAACTTGGGTCCTTGCATTTGTGAGGCAGGAGGCAGAATCACTGAGCTAAATCCCAGGCCCTGTAATGGACATTTTAAATAAATAGCATTTATTACCATTATCTCAATTCAAGTATAATTTGCATTATTTCTAGAAAGGAAAATTTCTGACAAAACTAGAACCACTTTATTCTAATTCCCAGAGATGACAAAAATTTTTATGTATTTTTCTGTAGTTTTTATTTCAGGTTTATGTATTTAATTCAATATATTAATATACATATATTCATATTTAGTCATTTTATAACTATATAGTCATTAGCTGAACTGTATGATTTATATAAGAAGTATAATTCATGTTATATGGCAGTATTGGGATATTTCTGTAATATTTTTGGTATAGTTTTAGCAACATGAAAACTAAAGTAGATGATTTCCAATTATAAATTTGTGCATATTACAAAAATGTAAACATTAGAAAAATAAATTATAAAAATTTACAGTCTATTAATTATCCCATTTCTAGTGTTAACATATTTATAAGTAATTATTTTCTAAAAATTCACTGATGATTAGATTTGTGGAAATGCTGATTTTTTGTTTTGTTTTGTTTTGGTTGTTTTTTTTTGTTTTTTTTTGTTTTTTTTTTTTTTTTTTTTTTTTTTGTTTTGTTTTTTTTTTTTTGTTTTTTTTTTTTTTTTTTTTGTTTTTTTTTTTGGTACTGGGGATTGAATTTGAATTTATGACCTTGTGCTTGCAAGGCAGATGTGGTGCCACTGAGCTAAATCCCCAGCCCCTTGTGGAAATGCTTTTTGTAAAGGGGTATGGACTAGATGTTCTTTGCTTTTAGATTTAGCCAAATACACAGTACATAAGCCAGAATGTAATTTGTGAAATAATATTTCAGCTTTTTTTCTCCATGCTTTAGGTATGTATTCTTTTTGGATCCATGCAAACTGGACTTGATAAATCGGAAGATCAAGTCTGTAGCACTATGTGTAGCAGCATGTCCAAGACAAGAATTGAAAACCTTGAGTGATGTCCAGAAGTTTGCAGAGATGAATGGTGAGATATTAGGCTGTACAAATCTACAATCCAGTTACCTATAATTACTATTAAATATTATGTGTTTACATTCTATTATAAAATTTTCCTAGTTTTAAATAAGATACCAGCGAACTTTACAAGAAGAAGAGAATTGAAATAATTTAGGATTTCCTTATTGAAAGTGTTAGAGTCAATCGAGGGAGTTTGTTGAAACTCTAGAATCCTAAGATGTGGTAGCATGTCTGTGTAGTTCTAGCTACTGGGGAGGTTGAGGCAAGAGGATCACTTGAACCAAACCAGCCAAACAAATACCCCAGACATTTATTATCTTACATATGTTTAATAAAATCAAAGCAAAATTCTAGATACCTGTGCTCCTCCCAGGAAGATTCTTACTAGGCCTTGGCCACAGGAAATTTGTAATTTTTTTTAAATTAATGCTTCAGGTGATTTTGATGTAGTCTGTTGAGTATTTGAGAATTACTAGACTGCTCCGTGTAAAATGTGGATTTTCCCCCTCTTTTCAAGTATTGATTAAAAGTATTTCCGTTAGAGGAAAAAAAAAAGCATTTCAGTATATGTATATATATATATATATATATAAACTTTTAAAGTCTGAGTAACAGTGTGACAGGTATATGTCATAGGAAATTAAAAAGTTTAGAAAAAAATATAAAGATGTAAAAACTAAAATTCTGCCATTAGTTCTTTTTTATTGTGTTGCTGAATGTATAATTTCATGTTCTGCTTTTTAAATTTAGCATTATGCAATGGCTGTTTTTCTGAAAATAGTTTTGAGGAACTTGGTGATTAAATATATGGGAATTAGTTGAGAAAACCAGTGGAATCAATTTCCAAAATCTAGCTCTGTTCTGAGATTCTTTTCAAGTGCTGTCCTCAGCTTCACAGTGTCTTGCCTCAGTTCTCTTCAGAAATATTTTTAAACCATTCTTTGTGGAAGGCCGTGTTCTGATGTACCCCCCAGCCTAATTATTGCTTTTGTTTCCTTTCTTTTACGTGCTTGAGGTTTCATGTTTGTGCTGTATGTGTAGGACTCCTCAGGCCCACCCAAATCCGAGGCTAGTTCTGATTTCTTGGAACAAAGGCTGACTTGATTACCCACCTGTTGTGACTTCAGGGTAGCGGCAGAAATATCCAGGGCTATGGCTTGTGCACACATCAGTGTACTCAATGTTCCAAATGGGCTCTAGGCCTTCTCGAAGACAACAGAAGTGGAGTGAGTGTTCCTGTCCTACTGCTTTTTCCCCTCAGCATAAAAAGGGGAAAAGGGCATGGAATTGATTTGAATCTGGATTTCAATTCTGATTCTGTCACTAGCTCTGTGATAAAAGGTAAGAGAGCTTTTCTGAACCCAGATTTCCTCATCTGACAAAAAGGTGGACTAAAAGTAACACTTCCTTATAGATTATAAGGATTAACTGAGATGATGCTGGTGGAAGAATATTTGATATGTGATGAGCACTGAATGAAATGGTACCAACTACTGTTAGGGTCTTATTTTCTCTTCTCACATGGTATCCCTACATTGTCTTGCTGGACCTTATGCCAGAACGATCAGCCTTAGCACTGTTGGGTTTCTAAAGGAGGGCTGAGTTTATGCCTCAAGGGTTTTGCAAAATCTTGGACACAGTGCGTAACATATATACCTGATAGGTGGTGTCATTGAGTGGTTAAGAGTATAGGCTCTGGAGTCAAATTGTCTGGATTTAGATATCGGTCCCTCTGCTCAACAGTCCCTCTGCTCAACCCTGGGCAAATTACTTGACCTCTCCATACCTCAATTTCCCCATTCTGATATAAGGATAATGTCTGTACCTAACTTACCTTGTTAGTAGTGTCATGATGAGTCAATACATGAAAATGCTGAGGGGGTGTCTGCAAATACTAAATAGCTAAAAATAGTGTTGGTTGTTACCATTATCCTTAGTGTTCCACTAGGGGAATGTAATAGTCTTCCCATCTCTCATCGCTTTGCTTATAGCTCCTTTAGGGACTGCCACGATATAAATCTTCCAGAGTTTCCCTCAGTGCTAATTCATTGCTCAGAAATCATCAGCAGTAAAATTAATAAAATAAAATCTATGGCTTTCACTGGCATTCAAAGTTATGATGGAGTCTTTTTTTTTTTGTACTGGGGATTGAACTCAAGATCTTGAGCTTTCAAGGCATGTGGCAGCAGCACTGAGCTAAATCCCCGGTTCTTCTGATTGAGTCTTGGACCTATGGTGTGGGCCTTTGTGTCTGGAACCTGAGCTCTCATCTGAAGGGCCAAACAAGAGGTAGTTCCTTATCAGCTATGTGGCCTGCTGAGAAAAATTGTCTGATGAGAAATGGCCTGTGCTGCCCTCCTGGCTTCCTTTCTTTCCAGGCCAGCATCCTTCTAGGTGAATGTGATACTGAGTTTAGCCTCTGTAGAAGACCAACCTGGTGGGTTTTTCAGACCATATGAAGATCTACCATTAAAAATAAATTAAAGGGGCTGGGGATTTAGCTCAGTGACACCTCTCCTGCCTCACAAGTTTAAGGTCCTGAGTTTGATCCCTGCTACTGAAAGAAAAAAATAAACTAAAGGTGTTCGTAAGAGGGCCAGGGATTTGGCTCAGTGGTTCCGCCTCCTGCTTTGCAAGTGCAAGGGTCCAAGTTAGATCCCTGATGACAAAAATAAAATAAAATAAAATAAAATAAAATAAAATAAAATAAAATAAAAGGTGTTGGTGAGGCTGTGGAGAAATTGGGACCTTGTGCACTATTGGTGGGAATATAAAATGCAGCTGCTAAGGAAAAATGTAGAAGTTCCTTTAAAAATTAAAAATAGAGCTGCCACATGATCCTAGCAGTCTTACTTCTAGGATATATGAATAAAAGAATTGAAAACAGTATCTCAAGGAAATATTTGCACACTCTTGTTCACTGTAGCATTATTCACAACCAAGAGGTAGAAGCAACCTAAGTATCTAGGGACATTTAGAATGGATAAAGAAAATGTGGTCTATACATATGAAGAAATGTTATTTGGTCTTAAAAATCTAATCACATGCTACAGTATCAATAAAACATGAGAACATTATGCTAAGCAAAATAAGCCATTCACAAAAGGGCAAGTACCATAGGGTTCCACATATGCAAGGTCCACAGAGTAGTCACATTCATAGAGACAGAAAGTGAGATGTTGCCAAATCTTTGGGGAGGATACAATAGTATTATTTTTTAATAGGTAAAGACTTTCAGCTTTGCATGAAGAAGAGAGTTCTGAACATGGATAGTAGTAATGGTTGTATAATAATGTAAAATCACTTAATGTCACTGAACTGTACATTTATAAATGGTTAAGATGATAGTAAATTTTATATTATGTGTATTTTATTGTAATTTGAAAAAAATTTTTGAAATACAAGATTCCTGTTTGAGATGGTAACTTTTTAAATGCTAATTCTAAATCTCATTTCTAAATGCAGGAGAGAATAACGTGTTTCCTACCAGAATGAAAAGATAATATAAATGCTTTTCAAGGAAATTTAAGTTTCCATGACAACATTTGAAAATAATTTTTAGCCCAACCATCCATTCATATGAACTCTTATTATCTTTAGAAATTATTTAAAATTTTATAAGAGGAAGCTCTTGATTCTTACAGCATGTTTGTAAGAAATACATTTATTAGGCAAATAAAATATTCCCTTAAATCTTTGTTTCTTTCAGACAAGAAAGAAGAGTTGTTTTCTTGGATACTTAGAGTTTGTGGAAAGCCTTTGTCAAGTATGTCTGACTAGAATAGAGAGTTTGGAAGAAATAGCTGGAAATCAGGTTGGTTATGTGTAGATACTACCTTAACATAGAAAGCTTGGAAAGCAGGCAGGAGAATATAGATGAATCTAAAAGTACACATTCTAGGATGTGAGTGGGGTGAGCTGGGTATACAAATGTGTTTCATCATTGTGCTTCATAATCCACATATAGCATGAACAGTATAAGTATATAATACTAGAAAATAAGTTTTGAATGATCTTTAAAAAAATTGCAATTGCCAAATGTCATAAAGACTCGCTATCAGTCATTTCTTTATCATCTTCTTGCAGTTATATATATGAATTTCCTTGGGGCAGGATTATGCTCTATTCATCTCTGAATATCTGGGCCCAAAATAGGAGCACACGGTAGATATCCATAAATGATTTTTGAAAGTGTGATGGACTGGATTTTCCTATTCACCTTTATTGCCACTTAATAATTTCTTATTCTCTCAACACACTTTATCCTCAGTTCTGTATCCATGTGAGTTGCTACCAGCAGGTAAACTGTTTAGCTTCAATCTAGCCAGAATTGCTATGAAATCAGTTCATTTTATTCATATCTAAATACAGTAATTCATCTTACTCATTTATCTCTTTTATACATACTCTCTAAGTGATTATTCCTACCTTTTCTTCACATAAGTCCTCTTGTTCATCCTCTTTCCTAACTTTATCCCCTACAGAGAAAATTGAAACTGTCTGGTATGAGGTCCCATCTGAGTTCTTATTCTCAGCAAGGCATGAATTCCTTCTTACTTTCACTTTCCTTCCCTCCAGTTTCTCATAAACAGGTTTCTTTCCTCATTTATCATTACTTTTGAAGATGTAAATAATGCATACTTTATAACCATTTAAAAAAAATGAATCCTCCATTTGAAGCTTTTATATGAGACTTTCATCTCAACGCAACCGTACTGTGACAGGTGGTAAAAAAGGGAAGACAGTACCTGCTCAGGCAGCTCTCCTTTCTCCCTCTGTAATTCTGGCCCATCATCTCTGTAGTCCACCTTTAATTCACTCCACTGTCCCCTTTATTTGGCATGGGCATCTGAGTTTTAGTAGATATAGTATTTAAGTGCTGGGTTTGTTCCATTGTCCATTTGTTGATATCTAGTATGTGCCATGCACTGTGGCAGATGCTTTGCTCTTTATTTTATCTCTCACTGCTATTAAATTCCAACAAGCAATTTAGAAAAGGGTATAACA